CGGTGTCTGAAACCGGGGACGGGCACGAAGGATGCTCCCAGGGCATTCTCGCTGAAGCTCAGGTCCATCACTAGGAGCTTTGGGCTACAGCCTACTTCATACGACGAAGAGTTCGAGATGAGCCCAAACCTCTTGACAGCCAAGCACGTTGATGACATCAATATGACTGGGAAGGAAGAGGCTATTGACAAGTATGTCAAGTGTGTTGAAGATACGTTTGGGAAGTGCAAACTGAACAAGCACACATACACAAACTGTGCCGTTCGGTACAACAAGACCGATGATGGGAGCGTCACTCTCGATCAGGACGAATACATCAAACAGCTTCGTCCTATCACACATCCAGAACTCACAGGAGCTGATCCTGAGAGCAAAGCGACAAAGACGATTTCTGATATGTTCGTCAGTCTTCGTGGCGCTCTAGCCTATGCGTTGATCACGCAGGTATGGCTGATGGTCTATGTTGTCTCACTACAACGTATCCAGGAACCGACAAACATCCAGGTACGACGACTAAACGCGGTTACCAGAAAGCTACAGGCAGGTCCGAAGAAGATCGTGTATCAAGCTATGACCCCAACAGGAGAAGTCGACCTGCATAGCGATTCTGGCTATCGTCGTCTCAACGGAGATGAAGACGACGAAGTCAAAGGCTATGGTATCCGCGGGGCTAACCTGCTGAGGCGTGGCCACACGCAAGCGGGGAAACCCGTCGTGCACCTGGTGGACGCATACTGCAAGTCTCATCGACTGCAGGTGCGTTCGAGCTACTCTGCGGAAACACTGGCAGCAGCCCACAACTTGGAAGACTGCTACCCGACCATTGTAACGCTCCACGAGCTACACTCGGGACCATTGACCCCCACACAGTTAAAGAACATATTGGAAATGGGTGGTCTATGTATCAAAGTCACTCTGACTATTGATGCCGAGTCTGTCTTCAAGTCTTTGTCTAGCAAAGATCTGAAGAAGCCCACAGAATGTACTCTGCTTGGGCACATCAGCTGGATCCGCCAGATGATGGAACGCGGAATCGTGGAAAGCGTCCAATGGTGTGACACGCGGGATATGACTGCCGATGGTCATACCAAAGGTAGTATTGACCGCGCGTTGCTCCTACAAGTAATGGCCGGCCAGCAATCCTTCAAGCACGAGCTGAAGAAACATACACCGTATAGGGCGGGCAGGTCGTCTCAGGACGGCCCTGCCTCCCGAGCCAGCGGGGAAACCCGCAGGCAGGTGCGCTCTAGTAGCGAGGAAACTCGCCGGTAGCGAGGCTACTCGCGCGCCCTTTCCTTGTAGGCAGCCGCTGCTGCTTAGCGCTGTTTTTCCGCATAATGTAGAAGTGCGGTACCTGCTCGTCTCCTCCCCCTCCGACTTTAAACGGAGAAGGTTAAAGGCGAGGTATAAATCGAGCATGTACCGCTGCCGTGCCTGGCTCAAGCCGGGCCCGGCCAAATATATGACTGTGCCTCACTGAGGCGCACGACTTGCATCAGAGATCGGAAAATACCTTTTCCATTGACGATGCCCATCCTATCCTTTACTCCAGATCCCATGCTTCGTCTTGCACTCTTGCTCATGCGATATGAGCCAAAGCCTGGGATATGGCAACGCTTAAAGCGTAACACATACCTAAGCTTACCAGCTTGTTTTCGACTTCTTGGGCTGTCGTGGAGACCTCTTGGGGGGCTCTTCTTAGCCGTCTTGGAGTCCATCTTGGCCATCATGGGTGATCTTGGAGGCCATCTGGGGCCGTCTTGGAGCCGTCTGGAGCAGGAAAAACCCTTTGGAACCGGGTCTGGAAGATCTATCCGGGACCCCGGCGGGACGCGCCGGAGCCCCAGGGGGAGTTCTTTGGGAAAAAGATCCCAAATTAAACCAAAACCGAAAGGATCCAGCACGCCAGGCACCCCTGCGATGAATCGACAGGGGGCGGCGGATCAAAGACGCCTACGGCGAATCACCGCCGCCCCCTGCCTTTTTGGAAGCGCCTATGTGGCAGAACGTAGGGGCCAGACCTGCCAAGCTATCGGACCATGTGTTCCCCGAATCGGTTTGGAAAGCCTTCGGGGAACACGTGGGCATCTTGAAGGTCATCTTGGCCGTCTGGAGGCCATTTGACTCATTCTGGCCTTCTTGGAGGACGTCTTGGATGGCTCCTGGACCGTCTTGGAGGCCATTTTGAGCGTCTTGGAGACCTCTTGGGCCGTCTTGGGGGCCTCTTGGGAAGGTGTCTTGGGGGCACTTGGGCCGTCTCGGGCCGTCGGAAGGCAGAAAAAAAGCAAATGCCACAATCCTTCAAAAACCCATGGGTCATCAATGATTTTGGCCTTTTCGGGCCTTCCTGGAGGCCCTCTTGGAGGCCTCTTGGGTCGTCTTGGGCCATCTTAGGGCCATGTTCGGCCGTCTTGGTGGGCTACTGGTCTGTCTGACGCCGTCTGAAGCCGTTTGGGGGGGCCTCTACGGGCCGACTTGGGGCCCTCTTGGAATGCTCCAGGGCAGTCTTGGAGGCCATCTTGAGCGTCTTAAAGGCCTCCTGTGCCGTCTTGGGGGCCTCTTGAGGCCGTCTTGGGGGCCTCTTGAGGCCGTCTTGGGGCCCTCTTGGGCCGTTCTGGGGCCATCTTGGAGGCCTCTTGGGTGATCTTTGGGGGCTCTTGGGCCGTCTCGGGCCGTCGGAAGGCCGAAACGAAGGAAATGTCAAACACCGTCAGCAACCTTAGGAAAATCCATGTTTCTGGCCTCTTCTGGCCTGCCTGGAGGCCCACTTGGGGGCCTCTTGGGCCGTCTTGGGCCAGCTTCGAGCCAACTTCGGCCATCTTGGCGGGTTCCTGGCACGTCTGACGCCGTCGGGGCCGTCTTGGAGGCCATCTTGGGCGCCTTGGAGGCCATCTTGGGCGTGTTGGAGGCCTCTTGGGCCGTCTTAGAGCCCTCTTGGGGCCATCTTGGGGGCCACTTGGGCCGTCATGGAGCCCTCTTGGGGGCCTCTTGGGCGGTCTTGGGGGCCTCTTGGGCCGTCTTGAGCCGTTCGAATGCCAACAAGAGGCAAATGCCAAAATCCTTCAAAAACCTACGGAAAATGAATGATTGTGGTCTCTTCGAGCCCTCCTGGAGGACCTCTTGGAGGCCCCTTGGGCCGTCTAGGAGGCGTCTGGGGGGCCTCTTGGGCCGTCTTGGGCCGTCTTGGACTCTCTTGGGCCGTCTTGGATCCCGTTTTGGACCATCTTGGGCGGACTTGGAGGCCATCTTGGGCCATCTTCGCGATTGTTTGAGGATGTCCCGAGCGAAACGGCCGTTTCAGGCATTGACTGATGCACTTTCCGGGTGGCCGGCGGGACGGGCCGAAACCCCAGGGGGAGTTCTTTTGGAAAAACAACCAAAACCAAAACCGAAAGGATCCAGCACGCCAGGCACCCCTGCGATGAATCGGCAGGGGGCGGCGGATCTAAAGGCCTTCGGCCCATCCCGCCACCGTGCCTGGGTTGTGGGTCTGACGCCTATTGGATGTTCGTTGGGATTTCGGTGGAGGCCTCCTGGGGGGTTCTTGGAGGCAGTTTGGGCCTCTTGGATGCTTCTTGGTTCCTCTTTTGGGCCTCTTGGGGGCCTCTTTTGGGCCTCTTTTGGGCCTCTTGGGTGCTTCTTTGGGCCTCTTGGATGCCTCTTGGTTCCTGGGGGCCTCGGAAGGCTCGGAGTCTTGGTTCGTGTTCCCTCTCTTTGGATTTGGTGGCCTCTTGGGCCGTCTCGGAGCGTCGGGAAGCCGAAAAGGCGAGATCGCGACCAACGTTTACACATTTTATTGGAAATGCATTATGGTTGCCTCTTTGGGCCCTCTTGGGAGCTCTCTTGGCGGCCTCTTGGGGCGTCTTGGAGGCCTCTTGGGCCGTCTGGGGTCCGTCTTGTGCGTCTTGTAGCGATCCTTAGGCGACCCGGAACCCCTTTGGACCGTCTTCGGGGCCTCTTGGGGCCCTCTTGGCCCGTCTCGGAGCCTTGTTGGGCCCGAAGTAGACATGCGACAAGCCGCGGGGCAGCCCACAGGGCACGCGTCAAACCCCAAGGGATGTTGGAGTTTGGGGCCCAGGCCCCATCAAGGACTCCTCAGTCAGGATTGAGGATTGAGCCTCCAGGGGTTAGGCAAAGGACCTGAGGACACGCCCATTTCGTGTCCAGAGGCACGGTGGCGGATGAGATAGATTCGCCGCGCCGCCCGCCTTCGTCTTTCCTACAGCTTTGTGAATTATGGCATTGGGCCCGAGTTCGTCTTTCCTACAGCTGTGTTGAAGTTGACAAACTTGCGGCTGCTTTGCGGGTTGAGGGCGGGCCGTTTTCAAAATGCAATTGTCACATTAACGCCGCTCGCGACACGCGGGCAATTTTTCGCAGCTCCTGCACTTGTTGACGGCGGCTCCTTTTCAATACGGGCCTCTCATTTCAGACCCCATTGGGTTGCGATTTTGTAGATTGACTCCCTCTATTGCCGCTGGAAGGATGGCGGGCAGCTCACTTTTTCGAGCACCGTTTTATCATTTGAGTGGCAAGGCCATGGCCCGCCCGTGTTTCAACGGGGCGTCCCCCGCAACGCAGGGGAATCCCTGCAAGGACCTGAGAAGAAGGATAGTGGTTTGGGCGGAAGGGTGCATGCTGCATTGTCGACGCATCCTTGGTAAACCCTGACCCTCTTCCACGATGTACCATGCAGTTACACATACACCTCATGCGTAGTTCAAGGCAACGTGACACCGTGGTAGTGCTTATGCAACGCTGGATGAAGAGAGCACGTCGAGATATGTCAGGAGGGGAAAAACACACAGACACAATGAATCGTCGACTCCAAAGAAAAGATCGGAAATTATGGGAAGTGGGGGGGAAGACGGACACCCAGAAAATATCGGGAAATACGGGGAGTCCTGAAAGTTGTGTCTATTTGTTTTTGTGTGTGTGTCCCTGGGCCCCTTCAATATGGTTGTCCTCCTCTCGCACCCCCTCCCCCCGCTTCGAAGCAGGACTGCGTCGACCACCTCAAGTGCGGCTCGAGCACGTGCGGCCCCTTCTTGCTGGGCCCCGATCGGTACAGGTCTCCAGTGCAATCCAGGGGTGGACCTCAACGGTGTTTTGGCGATTTCGTGGGCCGTTTTCTTTTCGATGTCGTGTTGCGTTAAAGGCGGACTGAAGACAAATCGAGGAACAACGAAAGCAACACGAAAACAAAACGAAAACGAAAAACACCGCCTAGGTCCTGCCTTGGTGAAATCGTGGGTGTTTTGTGTGTGGGGGCGGGCCGGGCGCAGCGTTTGAGAGGAAGTCTTGTTGTTCCTCGTGATCTCAAGGAGCCCCCCCCCCAGACACCCGGCAGTCCCCAGGCACCTCTCAGAACCCCCAGCAAAAACTCCGAGGACCCTCAAACCCCCCCCCTCCCCCCCTCCCCTCCCCTCCCCCTCCCCTCCTCCCCCCTCCTCCCTCCCCCCCCTCCCCCTCCCCTTCCCCTTCCACAATTATTCAATATGAATACTACTCTCCCTCTTCCCCTGATGGCGTGCTGGGAGTGGCCGACCCCCCCCCGGCGTATTGTTTTTTACACAGGATTCCCGGCAGTTGGGTTTTCGCTTGCGTTTTTTTTCAACATGCTGCTCTCGCTGAGGCGCCGGCCTCATTTCTGCTCCCGAATCGTTCCGAATCGTGCTCCCGCTGCAGCGTGGGCCTCATTTTCGGATCGGTGTTTGGCCTCCGTCGTTCAGGATGGCGTTCTCGCCCCAGCGCGGGCCTCTTTCTCGCGCGCCCATCCGCCCGCCACCACCGCGCCGCACCACCACCACCACCACCACCACCACACCCACCACCACCACCACCACCACCACCACCACCACCACCACCACCACCACCACCACCACCACCACCACACCACGCACACACGCACGCACGCACGCACGCGCACCACCACCCACTACGCACGCGCGCGCGGAGCCACAGGTCCGCTACGACACGCGTCCGCGGATAGAGAAAATCAGCGCCATGGTAAGGGATGGGTGGGAGGGGTAGGACGTCAGATATGACGCGAGCGCACCTAGCTTGCCCCCCTCCCCCTCCCCCCTTCACCCTCCACAATTACACAATATGAATACTACTCTCCCACTTCCCCTGATGGCGTCCGGAAGATGTTCGGCACCCCCCCGCGTACTGTTTTTTTACACACAGGATTCCCCGGAGTTGGGTTTTCGCTTGTGTTTTTTTCTAAAATGCTGCTCTCGCTGAGGCGCTGGCCTAATTTTCGGGCTCCCGCTCCTTCCGAATCGTGTTCCCGCTGCAGCGCTGGCCTCATTTCCGCGCTCCCGCTCGTTCCGAATCGTGCTCCCGCTGCAGCGCTGGCCCAATTTCTGCGCCTCTCGTTGTTCCAAAACGTGCTCCCGCTGCAGCGCCGACGTTTTCGATCCTTTTTAAGAAGCCCCAAATCTAGAAAATGATCCCCGGCAAAAACATTGGAGGTGATTACACATCCGGTGTCGATTCGTTGATTTTTGGGGCCGCAGAAAGCCCCCCCCCTTTTGGGCGGCGTCCTTTTCCGCACAGGATTCCCGGGAGTTTGGTTTTCATCTATGTTTTTTGAAAATCCGAGTCTTTCCGGTCCTTCAGAATGTTGCTCCCGCTGCAGCGTTCGTCCTATTTTCCGCGCCGCTGGTCGTTCCAAATCGTGCTGCCGCTGCAGTGCAACGGTCCCCGGCCCCATGCTATGATATGCTCCGCTCCAGTGGCGTTCTTCGGCTCTTCAACAATGGTGCTCCCGCTGCAGCGTTGGTCCCATGTCTGCGCCTCTGCTCATTCCAAATCGTGCTGCCGTATTGTTTTCTTGGCACTACGGCACTCTTCGGCTCTTCAACATGTCGCTCCCGCTGCAGCGTCGGTCCCATTTCTGCGCCTCTGGTCGTTCCAGATCGTGCTGCCGCTGCAGCGCATGCGTCCCGCGTCCGCGATTGGCAATTTCTACCTCTACCATTACTCAATATGAATGCACCTGCATCGTCGTCTGCGTCTTTGTCGCGATTGGCAATTTCTACCTCTACCATTACTCAATATGAATGCACTTGCACAACTCTGACATCGGACCCACTCTACCATTACCCAATATGAATGCTACTCTCCTTTCACCCCTGCAGAAATTTGAGATCCGGGTGGGGGACGCGCGTAACGGCAGCGGGCAGCTGGCGCGGGTGCCGCTCCGGCGCGGTCGCGTCGTCGTCGTCGTCGTCTTCGTCGCCGGTCGTCCTCATCGTCGTCGTCGTCGTCGTCGCCGCCGTCGTCGTCGTCGTCGTGGTTGTCGTCGTCGTCGTCTTCGTCGTCGTCGTCTTCGTTTTCATCGCGCCGTCGTCCTCCTCCTTTCCCTCTTAGGTAACAGGGTCAGATGCGAAGCCCGATTCGGTGAGAGGACAATGAAGTAGCTCAATGGGAAGGGATGGGAGGGAGGGGTAGGATGTCAGATGTTGACGCGAGCGCACCTAGCTTGCCCCTTCCCCCTCCCCCGTCCCCCCTCCCCTTCGCCGCTCTCCCCACTCATGAACGTGCGCCACCCTCCCCGCTCCCCGCCACTCTCCCCGCTCCTCCCTACTTCTCCACTCGCCACCCTCCCGACTCCTCGCCGCTCGCCCCATTTTTCCCACACGTCCAGTCTTAAATCCGGCCTGTCCCTCTGCAGGAGGAGCATTCAAAAATAGTCAAACAATAGTCTGGGGACGACTTCTCGACTATTAGTTACCGCTTTGGGGGGTATTTTTTGCTTCCCAAATCCGCCTCTGGGAGGACATGCCCGACCTTTGTCCATTCCTCCTCGCCACTCCCCCCGCTCCTCCTCGCCACTCCCCCCTCCTCCCCTCCTACTCCTCCTCCTCCTCCTCCTTCTCCTGCTCCCTTCTACCGCTTCTCCTCCTCCTCTCCTCCTCCTCCGACTCCGCCTCCTCCTCCTCATCCTCCTCCTCCTCCTCTCCCTCCTCCTCCTCCTCCTCCTTCTCCTCCTCCTCCCTTCCTCCTCCTCCTCCTCCCCTCCTCCGCCTCCTCCTCCTCCTCCCCTCCGCCTCTCCTCACCCTCCGCTTCTCTCCTCTCCTCCCTCCCCTCCTCCTCCTCCTCCTCCTCCTCCTCCTCCTCCTCCTCCTCCTTACCCTCCTCCTCCTCCTCCTCCTCCCTCCTCCTCCTCCTTCCTCCTCACTCCTCCTCCTCTCCTCCTCTCCTCCTCCTCCTCGCTCCTCCTGCCTCCTCCTCCTCCATCCTCCTCCTCCTCTGACTCCTCCTCCTCTTCCTCCTCCTCCTCCTCCTCTTCCTTCCTCCTCTCCTACTCCTCCTCCTCCTCCTCCTCTCCTCCTCCTCCTCCTCTTCCTCCTCCTCCTCTTCCTCCTCCTCCTCCTCCTCCTCCTCCCTCCTCCTCCTCCTCCTTCTCCTCCTCCTCCTCCTCTTCCTCCTCCTCCTCTTCCTCCTCCTTTTCCGTAGCCATTCTGGCTCAAGATGTCTGCACGAGAGGGCTTCCGCGCCCTCGTGCCAAAGTGGGATTGCTCTGTTTCCCGAGCAAGTCAAGGCAGTTTTGCCTGGCGCCGCCCGACGCGTGCGTTTCTCTTGGCCTTGTGGCTGGCCTCGTTGTTCTCCCGAGCAGGCGAGGGACCATGGCGCCTGGGGGCCGCGGCGGTGGCGAGGCCAAGCCCGACTGGTACTGCCGCTTCTGCAAGTACGAGCGTGGGCCCAAGGTCGGGATGCCCTGCATCACATTCGGCACCAAGCAGCTCTGCCAAGGACCGCACCTTCCTGGGCCACGTCCGCGGGGAGGAGGGGCTGCGCCGCGGCCACAGCGGCACCGCGGGTGGTGGTGGCGGCGCAGGGGCCGCTGGGCAGCACCTGGCCAGGCAGAGGGAGCTCACCAGGCTGCGTGAGGAGCTCAAGACTCTGCGGGCGGAGGGCAAGAAGGGCCCCGTGGCGGAGGCACCCAGTGGCGCCGACGCTGAGGAGGGCTCCGATGGGGGCGACGAGCAGCGCAAACTTGAACATCTTGATGGCCAGCTACGTGCACTGCGCGGCATCTCCGACCTAGGGAAGGACATTCTCGACACGATCGAGCGGATGGCGGCCCAGCGGCAGGCAATTGGCAGAGCAGGTGCGTGCCAAGAAGCCCGTTGTGGCGCAGCTGCTCACTCTCCAGAAGAAGCTCAAGTCCGAGCAGGACGCCATCGGCAGGCAGGACGCGGCTGTGGCCAAGGCGCAGGAGGCTGTCACCGCGGCGCAGGCTGCGCTGGAGGCCGAACGCGAGAAGGGCACGAAGCTGCGCGCCGACGCTGCTGAGCTGGAGGAGCAGGTGCGGGCGCTCAGCGCCCAGGTGCCCAAGCCTCCCGAGGCGAAGGAGTCCGTGGGGGCCCCAGGCGTGGCGCCGAACCTCGATGGCTTGGCCGACCTGCTCAAGGAGCTTGGGGCGTCGGGTGAGGTTGCCGAGAAGTTCTTGGCCCACCCCAAGATCGCGGCGTCGTTCGGCCCCAAGGCTCCTGCGGCGCTCGTTCGGCCTGCTGGTGATGGGGGTCCTGGTGATGCTGCGGCGCCGCCGCCCGACGCCAAGAGGCTGCGCATTGCGGCTGACAAGGCGCCCCTCGAGCAGCTGCGCGACAGCGTCGCGGCCGCTGGAGTCCAGGTCCCCACCGAGGAGGCGGAAATCAGGGCCAAGGCGCACCAGATCGCCGCTGCCGCCAGCGCGTGGGCCTACCGTGCCTACTAGGCGCCGGGGGCTGTGGCTTTGGCTGTTTTGGATTTCCATGCTCAGTAGGATGACGGGTGTTTCAGGTAATGACAAGTGCGGTGGCAGTTCGGATACTGCCAAGGGTGTGTAAACCACGGTCAACGTTTCATGTGCGCGAGGGCTGACCGAGTACCTCGCAGAGGCCCCGAAGGGCGACATTTTCGGCGTGCAGGAGCATCGCGTCTTGGGTGACAAGTTGAGCTCGATGCAGGGCCAGGTGCGGGACTTGGGCTTCCACGGCCTGTGGGCCCCAGGCGTGGCCACAGGCGGCGGCCCGCTGGACGTCTCGAGCGGCGTCGCGCTCCTTACGCGCAACGTC